AGGCACTAGTTTATGTGATAGGTTCTTAAGTCAAGTAATCAAAGATGAGTTTTGTGAAACCAGCAACAAGAAAGCATAAAACAAGAAACAAACAAGTTATGATTAATGAACTAAGCAAGCAAACAAAACAAGATGATGGTGATTAAGCAAATGATAAAAGCTAAACCTCTAGATGTGATCATTGATTAGGGTGCTTTAGATATTGAATCATGATGCTAAGAACATAATGCAACACTTGCTACTCTTTAGTCTAGGCTTCTTAATCAGATTAATTCATTCCCATGACAATAATCCCTTTGCAAATCACTTAATCAAGTCTAACAACCATTAGATATAATCAAGCAATCAGCAAGCATAATGCATCAAGCCTAATAAGTGACCAAACAATCTCTCAACCAAGAAGACTGAATCTTATACAGAAAGACATAACAAGCAATCACATGATCTCAAACATTTCAACTTAGAACTCTAATCTAGACTAATCCTCTCATGAAGGCATTAATCTCTACACTAATCCACTTTCAAACCAAATCATCATTTGTGAAATATGAATCAATGAGCATTAAGAAACAGTTCTAATATGTCATTCATGCATTTAACAAATCATTCCCATGATGAAAAAGGCATAAACCCTTAAGTTAGCTCATTCAGGCATTTCATCAAACACTTTTGGTGCATGAAATGCCTATGAACCCAGATTTCACTTTCCCAAGGAAATCTGGCATTAGGAGCAACTAACTAAGGAAATGGAATGAGAATCTAAACCCTAAACATCACCAATCAAACATCTAAGCACCCTAATCTACACACCTAGAAGTTTAAAAGATGACTACTCACTAATCATGAAGAACACATCTAATCTTTTGCAAGAGATGATGTTAATCATGATTAGAAGCAGAAATGAAATGATGAGATGATGACAAACAGACTTAGATTGATTAAATCCTTGAGATCTCTCTTAATCCAAAACGTTTTTACACTAAAAAGGAAAGAAAACTAGAGAGAAACTAAGAGAGAAGATGATCTACTTGGGTTTTTCTCCCAAAAAACTATATATACCTAGTGCTAATGGACCGGGTCAGCCCAGGACAAACTGGGTACTGACCCGGCTCAGTTGGGTCAAGTGGAAATCCTGCGGGTCAGTCCAGTATGTCCCAGGTCGCACACCTAAGTCGCAGTAGATGAAGACTTGTCTTGTGAAGCCTGAATCGCCTTGTCTTAGCCGCACGCCTAAGTAGGAGTGTTTTGCGAGTGTTGCTGCGGCTTGGTCTCCTTCCTCTCCAACTCGCAGGGCTAAGGCGGTTTCTGGGGAATGTACAAACTGTGCGGGTTGGTCTCTATTGCACCTAGGTCGCAGGCTCAAGTCGGAGTGATTTGCGAGTGTTGCTGCGGCTTGGTCTCCTTCCTCTCCAACTCGCAGCATCCAGAGCAGCTTAGACCACTTCGCATTCCGGAGAGTGTAACTCCTATGAGACTTGTCCGAATTGAATGATTTCGGTTGCAGAAGACAGAGGACTCATTTATCTCCAACTTTTGTGAAGAAAGCTTCGGTGCTTGGGAAGTGTAAGGCTTCCTGGAGGGCACATCTTTGCAGTGCATGTACACGACCAGAGAGAGGCGTCTAGACATGTGTCCATTCCGGAGACTGTATCTTTCTGCTCATAGATCCGAATTGAATGCTCTTGGACGTTCTGGAAAGAAGGCTCAAATGTCTATGGTTCTCATGAAGGACCCGGAAACTAAATCGGCCTGGAAGTGCACCGTCCTTCGCATCCTTTAGAACTGATCTGCTCGGTCCGGAATACCTGCGAGACTGGGGTTCCTTCCGACAAGCTTATCTCTCTGCTCACGCGTCCGAATTCCACGATTCTACTTGCTAAGAGACCGTGATGCAATTCTCTCCAACTTCTATGAAGCACCCGCCGTCTGAATCGGACCGGAAGGCTCCCCGGACAGGCGATCATTCAGGGGTATCGGATTGCTCCGGAATGAATGCGAGACCTGTTCGTCTTCCGATTACCATATCTTTCAGTTCTGTGGTCCAAATGCCTTGATTCCAACTGTTATGAACTCTTGACTCAATTATCTCCAACCTTTATGAAGACTCCGACAGCTAAATCTGACCGGAAGGTTCCCCGGACAGGCGATTTCGGAAACGTGTCTGCACCCGGAGATTTTGGCCGAGAGACTTGACCGCGGTACGTGTTATTGGCCGAGAAAGCTACCCGCGGGAAGGATTTTGGTCGAGAACCTTCGACCTTCAGTACACCATTTTGCCGAGAAACCCAAAATTGCTCCTTTTCACCATTTTTGATCATTCCAACTCCATTTCTTCATCTGAATCACATCATCCACTCCAAATTGGCTCCAAAAGCACCTGTTTAACACTCCAAAACATGCAAAACTCTCTTGGACCTAATGCAATCTCCTAAGTCCTAAAACAATGCCTAAAGACCTAAAATGCATGCAAATGAGACATGATTTTGACTAGAATATTTACATTAAATGATGCAATTTATGAATATATCACCTCTCCCTAGCCAAACTTTGCTTGTTTAAACATTGCATTATTTGATCCATTTGGTAGAAAGCTTAATGAATGTCAAAGAGTTGACGAATAGGAGACCTTGTGGAGATTACTATTAAGTTGATACATCAGAGTATAGTGTTGCATTTTGTTGGGGTCGGTTTCACCCCAATCGGTTTAAACCATCTCAAGAACATTGGAGAGCCGATCCGAAAAGAGAAACGGTGACCTGTCAAAAATGGGCCGAGCCGCGCAGAAGAAGGCCAAGCTCAAGTGGGCCGAGCCGTGAGGTGAAAATGGGTGAGCCGCGTATGAGAGCAGATGGGCCAAGCTGTGTCGTGAGGTACGGGCCGAGCCGCACTTCAACATGATTGGGCCGAGCCGCGCCTCGGCGAGTTAGGCCAAGTCGCGTCTCAACTCGAATGGCAAGTGGGCAGAGCCGTGGAGAAGGTTAGATGGGCCGAGCTGTGAGAAGAACGGTGAGCAGGCCTAGCTGCGCGAGAGGAGGCATGGGCCGAATCGCTTCCCTATGCGTTGGGGCGAGCCGGTTTTCCAAGATGGGCCAAACAAAGGTTTTAGAAGACGAAAGCCCACAGAAGCCCCAGAAGCCCTAGGCGAAGTATTATGACGGTTGCCGCACGAAGTGATAAGGAAATATACCTAAAATCTAAGGAAATATACCTAGAATCTCGGGAGAGGTGGTTTAAGAAGTTAGTATAAATAGGAGATTTCTATGATTCATTATGTAACTTTTGCAACCCTAAGCAATAAGACCTAAACACTTTCACAGCAATAAAAATCCTCTTTTGATCTTACTGTTCTTGTGATTACCCTAGAAGTTTTGGATCCCTTAGTTTTTCCTTTACAAATGTTTGGTTGTGCGAGTTTTGGCTCACACAATAACAACAACAACAACAACAACGATAACGGCGCAGAGAAGGACTCTCCAGCATCAGGCACAACGACGGCGACGACCGAAACCCAAGAGGAGATGCGAAACATGATGGCTGCGCTGATGAAGAAAATCGACGAGCAGGACAAAAGAAACGAGGCGATTACGGAGAGGCTCGACGCGATGGCGGCTAAGCGACAACACCAAACTTGGAGAGCCAGAATTCCCGACCCGATGGATGGAATCCGGAGACGCTTCGACTTCTCAATGCCTGCAGAGGCCTCGGGGAGCGGTGCAAGAAACCCCTTGGCTCCACCAATGTTTCGTCCCCTTGGCGAACAGACTCCGGCGGTGACCCGAGTCAACATGACCGAGCCGCCTCCACTCCGTCGGAACCCAAGGCGACGAGCCGACATAGAAGAGAATGACGCGATCGACGTGGATGCACAGAAGAACGATGGAACCACGAATTCGCAACAGAACGGCTCGGCTCGGCGAATAAGCCAAGAAGAGCTCGCCTCGGCACTAAACGGCGTTCGGACTGATGAAATCACCGATCCGGCTCGCGGCGACAACCCAACTGAAGAAGAAGAAAACCTCCAATGGATCAAGCAGGCGGAGCGCGAAGACGAGCCGAGGAGAGAAGAGCGGGAGCGACCTACCCAATCAAAGGGAATGACTCACATGCAAACTCTCGAAATCAAAGAACTGCGAGCCTCAATGGCTCGGACAGTGGCTGAGATACGCGCCATGAAGTTTCAGGTGCACAACGCGACAAGTGCTGCGCCCGAGATCGATCGGATTCTTGAAGAAACCCAGAGAACACCATTCACGGCAAGAATCACGGAGGCTAGGATTCCCGAGCCCGGGAAGGTGAGAATCCCGTTCTACGAAGGAACAACCGATCCAAAGGCACACATCACGGCGTTTCGGACAGCAATGGGACGAGCCTTCACAAAGAACGCTGCCAAACTGACCGAGCGGGAAGTAGATGGCGGATACTGCCTGCTCTTCATGGAGCATCTTAAGGGAGCCGCGCTCGAATGGTTTTCGAGGCAGGAACGCAACTCAATCGGTAGTTTTCAACAGCTCTCCGCCCTGTTCCTAAAACAATACTCGATGTTTATGGATAGAAGAACGTCTGATGCCGACCTGTGGACACTATCCCAAGGACCGAACGAACCACTTCGAGATTACATGGCAAGATTCAAGGCAGTCGTATCCAAAATAGAAGGGATAAGCGACAAGGCTGCGCTCGAAGCTCTGAAACGATCTTTGTGGTAGAAATCCGAGTTCCGACGGGAGATGGCACTCAACACACCACAAACAATTCAAGACGCTTTGCACCGGTCATCAGACTCCGTCGTAAACGAGGAGGAGATGAAGAATTTGGACGAGTAGTACGAAGCAACGAAAGCAGCAATCCGAAGCTCAATTTTGATGCGCCCCTCGAAGAAAGGCAACCCATCGAACAACACAACAACGCAGAGCTCGGACGAACCTAGAAGCGGAGGTGCCCATAACTAGGAGGTAGGCACCGGATGCGGAAGAGGAGAGCCGCGCAACAACACTTGGGTAAGAATGTCCGCCAACTACGATGAGAAGGCTTTCTGCGAATATCACCAGACCTACGGGCACTTAACGGCACAATGCCGAATGTTAGGAGCAAAACTCGCGGCTAAGATGGCAGCGGGAGAGCTCCAAAACGCGGTCAACCTCAAAGACCTCGTCCTTAATGAACCACAAGAAAGAGCCGAGCCGAGCGGCGCGGCTGAACCCGCAAATCCTCCCCGACGAGGCGTTAACTACAGGCGCGACAGGAGAGGCGAACCTGAAGAGCAACCCGAGCCAAGGCAAAGGATCAATATGATCATGGGAGGATCTCAATACTAACAAGATACCGTGTCCTCCATCAAAGCCCATCAGCGCCGAGCCGAGCGAAGGAGAATTGGACAGAACCAACCGACATCCCAAATACAGTGATCTCCTTCGCCGAGGAGGAAACGGCAGGAATCGATAGACCCCACAACGATTCGTTGGTAATTGAGTTAACAATCAGGGATCATGACGTAGCGAGGGTGCTCATCGATACTGGAAGCTCGGTGAACGTCATCTTCAGGGAGACACTCAGAAGAATGGGAATCGACCTCTTCGAGGTGGAAGCAATCCCCAAACCTCTAACCAGATTTTCAGGAGAAACGACGATGACTATGGGAACGATCAGGCTCCCTGTGGTAGCAGGCGGAGTCACTAAGATCGTTGAATTCTGCGTCACTGATCACCCTGCAATCTACAATGTGATTATGGGAACTCCATGGATCAACGGGATGAGGGCGGTCCCTGATGCGTGCTCGCTACGTGAGGGAACAAATTTTACCCTTAACAAAACAAATGAAAGCCGCAAGTGCACAGCTAATCAGTTGTAGTATTTAGGGATTGAATCCACAGAGATTTGTGTGCCTGGTATTCTTCTACGGTTTTTAACTTTATGTCTAGACTAAATTGGTTTTAAAGTTTGATTGTTTTTCTTGCGAATTAAACTAAAACAAAAGAAAGCAAATAAATCTATCCTAAAAAGCAAGTAAAGAAAATCGAATGAAATGCAAATGGAATAAGTAAAATATCGAACTAAACGAAAATAAGGCAAGTAAAATATCACATGAAAGGTAAATAAAGCAAGTAAATAACCAACTAAGGAAATTGAAATGCAGGTCTAAGAAAGCAAGTAAAAATCGATGGAATTGTAAACTATGGCTAAAAATGCTGAGCTTTAGGGAACTCTAAGGGATCATAATCGGTTTTAACACTAAGGTAGATAGATTGGGATTGATGGATAACAATATATGGGTTCTAGAGCTAGAGTACGGCGGTATGACTACGTCACTGTCGTGATCATAACCAACTGTTTCTCGCAACCCTGACCAGTAGGTTTCCACTCTGGCCCTGGAAGGGAGAGAACGCAAGTGCTTGACAAGACTCGTCAATACTCACGATCTCGCCGCAGGTAGGTTTCCACTCCTACGGAAAAATCGCCTGTTTCATTCTAGGGCTGATACTTAATGAAAACTTTCGCAACACTAACTATCTAGATCAGATACTAGGTGATCAATCAAGCATACATGCAATAAGAACAAGAATAAACAGAGAACAGGTCGACATCCCAGATCTATAAACCTAGATGTCTTAATCGATTATGAGAGCCCCTTTCGGGAACCCTAAGCCCAACTCGGGATCTACTCAGACATGGCTGAGTTCGACATCATCATTGGTTTTAATAAAAGTAATGAAAAACAGTAAAGAAAAGAGATAAAGAAAGCTTCTCTATTGAAGAACTCGGACTTGAACAATCTTCTACAAAAATCTCATAAAAACGGCTAAAGGAAAAGGGTTTCTGTAAAGTATGAATGGCTCTCTCTAAAAACAACCTAAATGACATGTATTTATAGTCTCCAATACTCCATGGTCTTTAGGGTTCCGGAATTGAGGCTGGGAATGACTTTGGGCTTCAGATAAGTGGGCTTTAAGTCGGAGCTTGAATGCCGCGGTCGGGAGTGTTGTGACCGCGGCAATTGGCTTATTGGCCGCGGTCGGGAAGCTTCTGGCCGCGGCAAATAGCTTGATGGCCGCGGTCGCATGAGCTGCTGGCCGACTTCGAGTGGCTCCGGGGCTAATGAAATATCTTGAGATCCAACCGTTGGAATGTCTCCAAACCAAGTGCAATTGAAAGCTGGTTGATTCTTCTATAAGTTGTCCAATTTTGAGGGTGATCGGACGGTGAGAAGGTCTTCGTCTCTCCATGAGAGTTCTGACGGTCTGCATTTATCCAAAAGAGTCTTTTGGTTCCATTTTGTGCCTCTTTATCCCAAATTACCTGAAAAGTCTTTTAAAATCCGTAAACATAGAAATCCTTTGAAAACCTTTGAAAATGGAGTAAAAACACCTGTAAAAGATATTAAAATGATCCATAAAAATGGTCAAAATCCAGTGTTATCAACTCCCCCAGACTTAGTCCTTTGTTTGTCCTTACAAAACAAAGGCTAATCTCGGCGAGAGGTTTGAAAACGCAGGAACTAAACAAAATCTCAGAGACCAAACCTCTAGACCAATATCAATCAGTATGCATCAATCGGGGATATCCTAGAAAATTCTCACTAGCAATACAGGCATAACTAGTCCGTTAATCCCTCATGCAGAAATCTATGCACTAAGATCTAACTTCCAGTCAAATAGCTCTTAACATTCATTAAAAATCTCGGTGATTCTCATCAAAGAAAATCTAGGCAAGGCAATCTAGGCTAGGTGTAAAGAAGGATTATTTTGGGGGTATGGCTTAAAGTGTTTAAGGGTTACCTGAAGATCTGGAGGATGCAGGACATTATGCAAAACCGCAAGAGAGAGTGAAGTTGTTGATATCCACAGTTTTCAGTCACTTTTTTCTTGACATAGATTCGTGGTCTTCTTCCTCAAGTTCTCTCCAAACTCCCCCAGACTTAAATTTTTGTAAATTTTTCAAAACAATAGCTCCTTAAACGAATAGTGGTTGCTCATTGCTCCACAAATTTCGACAATCTAAGACTCATTAGGTTTTTTGTTTCCCTTTCTCTTTTTCACGTTTTTTTTTTTTTTTTTTTTTTTTTTTTTTTTTTTTTTAAAGAAAGATAGGGAACACCTTTAGATATAGAGTCTTAGAGAGCACGAATTTACCAGTTATTATCTTTCTTGTAAAGCTTTATTATGTTTCTGATACTCTTCATTCCCAATTCCATTCAGTCTCTTTTGCGAGTGACTGAAAACTGCATCGCTCCTCTTCTCTCCGACGCTTTTGCACATATCTGCCGATATAAACTAAAGAGAGAATGCATGAGGATTGAAAACAAAGGTTTTGGGTTTAGGGTATGGTACCAGATAAAGATAAACTGGCATCTAGGACGACAAAGAGTGGTAAAAGTGATGGTAAAAGATGTCCTAGATGTGTACGTCGATGCCTGCCTAAAATCAATGATGAGAAAATTAGATATCAATATTAAGTTCAAATAAAATGAGCTAGTATATCCTGTCAGAAAGAATCTCCATGAATAGAAGTCCTCTGGTGGGAGTTCGTAGTGCAAGTACTCTAGCTACCGCCTAGTCTAGTGCTAACCACAAATGAGCTATCATGCATAGTGTAGAAGTGTGCAGGTCTAAATCATCATAGTTTTGCGTCAAACATTCCTGAAAAATACCTAATGTCGAATAGGTTACATATTAAAATTTAAAAAGTACTTGAAATTTAAAAGCAAAAGCAGGAAAATAATTAGTACGGATAGACATCCTCCCCCAGACTTAAATCACACTGTCCCCAGTGTGAAAAAAATTGGTGAGAAAATGGTGAATAAAAGCAAAATAAAATAAAATAAGATAAAAGAAAAGAAAATGATGATAGAACCGTGATGGTAGTGAAGTGCTGATCAATCACTCATCCTCCGAAGTGTCGTCTGCGAACTGGTGCTGCTCCTGTAAGAAGGTGACAACGCGCTCAAAGCGTCGTCCCTGTCTCTCAACTCTGCGCTCCAGATCGAAATGAGTGTGTGATGATGTGGATGATGAGGTGTGGCCGGTTGGAATAGATGGCTGAAAATGAGCACGGGCCGCAGCTGCATCACGCTTCGCCTTGGCCACTATGTACTGGCCAATGGTGAATGGTAGACTAGGTACGGATGGCAGAAAATCATCGGATTCCGGAGTCCATCGAGGGCATCCTCCGTTGCTCAATCTCGGGATAGATGCTGAACGTAAGCGGACTCGGTGCTCTTCAGTGCCAGTGCAATACTTGTAACCAAACCTAACTGGATCGAAAGCGGCACGAGAGATAGTATGATCGCGAGAGAGATAAAGTAGATCATACCAGACATCAGGAAGTGGATCATCAGATGAGAAATCGAATCTTACAGCCTGTAGTATCGCTGTAATAGCACTCCTGAAAGCTGGAGTAGCGTCATCGCAACCATGTAAATCATGCTTCACCTTTACCATATTCTGCGATATGATCCAGGCAAAGCAGGCAAGTCGTGGGTCGTCCATAAATGGGATCTGAAGTGTAATGAGCTCAGTCTTCAAGACACCTCCCATGTTGGCTCTAGAGAAGATCGTGTGTGCTAAGAGTTTGTGCACAACTCTCACTGCTGGGTGGCTAAGAAGGGCTGACTTAGATCTCCCACTATCATAGTATCCATGACCCATCTCTCTCCACAGGTTAAGATCAGGTTCATCTTCAAGGTAAATGCCATCAATGTATGGAAGCTTAAGAGCTTCACAAACTTCGGAAATGGTGAGAGAATAAGGCTGTCCGCGGATAGAGAATGACAAGATGCCATCTGATGCTCTGGGGTTCCTCCTCTTCGTGTGGTGGAGTGTAACGGTCGCTAAAAGCTCACGGACTAGCTCAGGATAAGTCGGAAGTTTCAGCTCCAAGTAGGGTCTCAGCTTAAGTGCATCGATGTACCAGATCACATCCTCTCTGATTCCAAGCATCTCGAGTGTATGATAATCAATGCAAGGCGTGGGTTTGATGTTCAGCTTCTTGAAACGCCTTGCATAGTCCACTCTCGGGTTTGTCTCCCTCCCAATGTATCGAATCTGTGGTGGTTCGGGAGGTGCTCCTGTTTCTCTTGAGTGTTGGAGCAATCTCATCACATAGCTTCTTCTTCTCGGTCTGGCTTGGTTCAGCATGTACTCTCCTAGAGTAGCATCGTCAGGAATGTCATCGGAGCTGCCACCAGTTCGACGGCTCCTTCGGGATCTGGTTTCATCCATTTTCTGCAAAATGAAATGATTCTTGGAAAAAGAGTGAATTTGGGTGCTAATTTTAACACATTAAGATCTGTTATACTAATACTAGTATAAAAAGATTAATTAAAATTATTAGCAAACAAAATTGATATTAAATCAGAGAAATCAAGTAATTCATGACTAAATTCGGATTTTTGATGTTCTCAACATAGAAATCTTCTAGAAATCGGTTTTTATGAGCAATTTCCATGTGAATTCTAAAGATTACCCAATACTAATCACTAATCACACAAGACTAAATCAAATTCATCAATTTTGCTGTTCCAAATTCGATTTTTATGAAGCATCTAGAATCCAAATTTCAAAAATCTCAATTCCTCTTAAGCTAGGTGCTAAAATCGATTTTTAGATAACCTAAATGGATAATATATCATTCTTAAGCTATTTCCACCATCAATAGACCAAGATTTTGGGTTTTTAAAGAAAACCCTAAGTTCAAAATCGAGTAAGAATGGTGAGTTTGAGGTTCATACCTTACTGGAAAGAGAGAATTGATGGTAGAATTGAA